AGCTCAGCTCGCTCTGATAAGCTGCGAGTGGTAAATTTTGGCCTTGATATGAGAGAATACATCTATGTGGTATGTGTGTGCACAACATAAAACAAATCCTGCAGCACATAGTGCATAATGAGAGAAAAAAACAGACCGTAATTTTCTATTAAAACAGCGAATTTGCAGTTTTTTTTGTGTTTTTTTTATAGTTATATTTACAATTTCTTGGTCTCATTTGATAGAAGGGAAGACATATTACAGAAATAGAGATGCTTTTGATTGGTTTTAGTACTGAAAATGGCTTGAAACCGAGCTCAAAGTAGCAGAAATATTAAATTTTTGACGATGTTCAAGAGTAAACAAATGACCTCACACGTCTAATACATGTCTGCTGGTGGGTCTAATATGTTCACAAATGTGCTGATATTATTTATACAATTATTACAATATTGCATAACAGTAAATCTTCTATTTTTTGGTTTGAATAAAAATTCATTATGTAAATAAAAAATCAAAATGGAATTCATTAGTAAAGCCTGAAAACATAACAAATGAATAGAGGAAATATTAGTTTAGTGCCAGGAATGTCTGCATTGTTTATTCTAGACCCTATTTTGAAATTGGAGTATTTTGAACTTCGCATTAAATTGGCCAAATTACCAATTTCCGATCACTTTATTTTGTAGTATAAACAGTTGACTTGGCAAATTCTTGTGCTCAATCGATAGAATAGAAGTAATACTAGTGAAATAGCTAAGAATTTGGTCGACTGGAATAATGTAATTGGCCTAAAATGGGAGTCAAAGTCCACAAAATCGCCGATGCGTAAATATCACCGACACATCAATATTAGCAAGAGCGTAATTTCATCAATTTTCGTACTTTTTGTTTTATTACCTTCAGAAAAAGATTCTCTACCATTTCATAAGAAAAAATAGCAATTATTTTTTGAAAATTCTTGAACACTGGTGCACCCTTTGAAATTTGGCCTCTGGACCCTGAAAGGGTTAAATTGAGCTATGTGTAGAAAGAGGTTTGGTAATAAGTAATACATATTTTATGAAAAAGAGGATAAATAAGTATACAAGGTATGATACAACACGTAATGAAAGTAGTCTGTTAGATTATGTACTATTTTTTTTTTTTTTTTTTTATTATCACACCGGCCGATTCCCACCAAGGCAGGGTGGCCTGAAAAAGAAAAACTTTCACCATCATTCACTCCATCACTGTCTTGCCAGAAGGGTGCTTTACACTACAGTTTTTAAACTGCAACATTAACACCCCTCCTTCAGAGTGCAGGCACTGTACTTCCCATCTCCAGGACTCAAGTCCGGCCTGCCGGTTTCCCTGAATCCCTTCATAAATGTTACTTTGCTCACACTCCAACAGCACGTCAAGTATTAAAAACCATTTGTCTCCATTCACTCCTATCAAACACGCTCACGCATGCCTGCTGGAAGTCCAAGCCCCTCGCACACAAAACCTCCTTTACCCCCTCCCTCCAACCCTTCCTAGGCCGACCCCTACCCCGTCTTCCTTCCACTACAGACTGATACACTCTTGAAGTCATTCTGTTTCGCTCCATTCTCTCTACATGTCCGAACCACCTCAACAACCCTTCCTCAGCCCTCTGGACAACAGTTTTGGTAATCCCGCACCTCCTCCTAACTTCCAAACTACGAATTCTCTGCATTATATTCACACCACACATTGCCCTCAGACATGACATCTCCACTGCCTCCAGCCTTCTCCTCGCTGCAACATTCATCACCCACGCTTCAGGATGTACATGTTTATAGAGTGGCAACTGATACACTGGATTATTTAGTTATAGCTATAGTTAGAGTAAGAGGCAGCTGGGACAAAAGGACAATGGCAACAACAAGTAAGAGGTGAAAGTGTATAAACTAAGGGAGGAGGAAGTTAGGGCGAGACATAAGCAACTATTGGCAGAAAGGTGGGCTTATTGTGTATGGCTATAAGAGGGTGGATGCAGGAGGAAAGAGAAGTGATTGGTGGAATGATGAAGTAAAAGGTGTGATAAAAGAGAAGAGGTAGCTTATGAGAGGTTTTTACAAAGTAGAAGTGTTTTAAGAAGAGCAGAGTATATGGAGAGTAAAAGAAAGGTGAAAAAAGTGGTGAGTGTGTGCAAAAGGAGAGCAGATGATAGAGTGGGAGAGGCCTAGGGAACAAATGGATTTGTCAGTTAAAAACAGAGTAGGAGAGTTAGCAAATGGGGAGCTGGAGGTATTGGGTAGATGGCAAGAATATCTTGAGGAACTTTTAAATGTCGATGAAGAAAGGGAGGCGGCAATTTTATGCACTGGCCAGGTAATTATAACGTCTTTTAGGAGTAAAGAGCAGGATTGTGAGTGTGGGGGAGGTGTATGAGGCATTACATAGAATGAAAGGGGGTAAAGCAGCTGGAACTGACGGGATCATGACAAAAATGTTAAAAGCAGGGGGGGATATAGTGTTGGAGTAGTTGGTATTTTCATTTAATAAATATATGAAAGAGGGGAAGGTACTTAGAGATTGGCAGAGAGCATGTTTAGTTCCTTTATATAAAGGGAAGGGGGACAAGAGAGATTGTAAAAATTATAGGGGAAGAAGTTTACCAAGTATACCAGGAAAAGTGTACAGTAGGGTTATTATTTAAAGAATTAGAGGAAAGAGTAGGATTGCAGATGAGCAAGGAGGCTTTAGAGTGGGAAGGAGATGTGTAGATCAAGTGCTTACATTGAAGCAAATTTGTGAACAGTATTTGGATAAAGGTAGTGAAGTTTTCATTGAATTTGTGGATTTAGAAAAGGCATATGATAGAGTGGATAGGGGAGTAATGTGGCAGATGGTGCAAGTATATGGAACAGGTAGTAAGTTACTAAATGCTGTAAAGAGTTTTTATGAGGATAGTGAGGCTCCGGTTAGGTTGTGTAGAAGAGAGGGAGATTACTTCCCGGTATAAGTAGGTCTTAGACAGGGATGTGTAATGTCACCATGGTTGTTTAATATATTTACTGATGGGGTAGTAATAGAAGTAAATGCTAGGGTGTTGGGGAGAGGGGGTGGGATTAAATTATGGGGAATCAAATACAAAATAGGAGTTGACAGATACTTTTTGCTGATGATACTGTGATTATGGGAGATTCTAAAGAAAAGTTGCAAAGGTTAGTGAATGAGTTTGGGAGGGTGTGTAAAGGTAGAAAGTTGAAAGTGAACATAGATTAGAGTAAGGTGATGAGGGTATCAAATAATTTAGATAAGAAAAACTGGATATCACATTGGAGAGAGGGAGTGTGGAAGAAGTGAATGTTTTCAGGTATTTGGGAGTTGACTTGTCAGTGGATGGGTTTATGAAGGATGAAGTTAACCATAGAACTGACAAAGGAAAAAAGGCGAGTGGTGGGTTGAGGTATCCGTGGAGACAAAAAAATGTTATCCATGGAGGCAAAGGGAATGTACGAAAGTATAGTGGTACCAACACTTGTACATATGTATATGGGTGTGAATCTTGGGTTGCAAATGCTGCAGCAAGGTGGCTGGAGGCAGTAGAGATGTCCTGTTTAAGGGCAATTTGTGGTGTAATTATTATGCAGAGTATTCGAAGTGTGGAAATTAGGAAGTGTGGAGTTACTAAAAGTATTAGTCAGAGGGCTGAAGAGGGGTTGTTAAGTTGGTTTCGTCATTCAGAGAGAATGGATCAAAGTAGAATGACTTGGAGAACGTATAAATCTGTAGGGAAAGGAAGGCGGGCTAGGGGTTGTCCTCTAAGAGATCGGAGAGAAGGGGTAAAGGTTTTGTGGGTGAGGGGCTTAGACTTCCAGAAAGCATGTGCAAGCGCGTTAGGTAGGAGTCAATGGAGACTAATGATTTTTGGGACCTGACGAGCTGTTGGAGTGAGCAGGGTAATATTTAGTTTAGCTATTCAGGGAAATCGGTTATTTTTATATAGCCGGATTTGAGTATTGGAAATGGGAAGTACAATGCATGCACTCTAAAGGAGGGGTTTGGGATATTGAAGTTTGGAGGGGTATGTTATATATCTTTTTATATGCTTCTAAACTGTTGTATTTGGGCACCTTTGCAAAGACAGTGACTATGTGTGAGTGAGGCCAAAGTGTTGAATGAGGATGTATTTTCTTTTTGGGGATTTTCTTTCTTGTTGGGTCACCCTGCCTTGGTGGGAAACGGCAGATGTTAAAAAAAAATACATTGATGTTGTAGTTTCTGGTACAAGAAAGGGAATAATCAGAAAGCCTTAGTCATTAATTAGGAACTTTGTATTGCAACTTCCCTAAAATCACTCACCAGTATGGAGACTTGTTGGGTTGAGCTGGAATTTTGAATTCACCGACTGCATTCCAGGGTTAGTATCAGATAAGAAAAATTCCTAAGTTGAATTAAAGTACATATTTTGTGGGCTTCCTAGGTAGTATGTTGGTAGACAGCAACCGCCCAGGGAGGTGCTACCATCCTGCCAAGCGAGTGTAAAACGAAAACCTGTAATTATTTTACATGATGGTAGGATTGCTGGTGTCTTTCAGGTACATCTTGTTACTTGTACTTACACTTAGGTCACACTACACATGCATGTACAAGCATATATATACACACCCCTCCGAGATGTCTTCCATTTTATTATATTACTAGTTCTTGTTTATTTTTGCTCTTCTCCATGGAGAAGTGGACCAAACTTCTTCCTCTGTAAGCCATGCGTGTCGTAAGAGGCAGCTAAAATGCCAGGAGCAAGGGGCTAGTAACCCCTTCTCCTGTATATATTACTAAATTTAAAAGGAGAAACTTGTTTTTTCTTTTGGGCCACCCTGCCTCAGTGGGATATGGCCGGTTTGTTGAAAGAAGATTTTATGGGCTTCTATCTTGGGGGGAAATAAAAAAAAATCAGTTTATTATTGTATATTAAAATCTTAAGACTTGTTCACTACAGTAAATAATATTCAACATTAGATTTTCAGGTAAAAAGTAACTGAGGATATTCAGTAAGAAAAGAACAGCCAAACAAATTAAAAATGTATTATGTAATATGTAAATAAATCATACAGTACACAGAACCTGAGGTATTCGAGGTCAAATATGGAGTTTTAAATAAAACTGATGTTAGAAACTGAAAATTTAAGACACATGTCTACTGTCTAATTAGTATACTGCATATGGTATGTATATATTAATGTACTGTACTGTTTTAAATCACTATGCTGCTTCTCTCCCTGAAACCTCAAGAGTAAATGACAGCAAAAATACCACTGAGATAAAACATTCTTGGCGAGACAGCATGCAAGTGTGACAAATTTCTGTACACAGAACAGTTGTTACTGTATAAATATGGCACAACAGAGCAAGAAAAACAAAAACAATGGTTATTGAATCCTTTGAGATGAAGGTAATATAGATGATTATAACATCTGCATGAACAACGATTACATGAAATGTGTTACTGACCTGGACCTTTGGAAGATACTGCAGGTAAATTGAAGGTACAAAATGAGTTTATAAATTATCAATGGGACATCTACTGGAAAATTTGTTATACGAGAGCTGAAACGTGTAATTAACAATTCATATGTAACAGGATGTTGTGTTGGTCATATATACCCCTTACAATGATTTGGGTGAATTTATGACCACACTAATTTCTTAAGAAACCATGTAGGAAGTCAGTGTTGTGTGTAATATAAAATTTTGGAGAAGAGAGGACACAAGTAACAGGCAGGAAAGGTTCTTGGGAAGGAAATTTGTGGCAACAGGATAAGAGGTACTTAAATATCAAATGTACTATTGCAAACATTGATTTATTTTCAATTTATGATAAAGGCTATGTACATCACAAGATGATTAAGAATTAGAAATGAAAATAGTACTTAAAAAGAATTTAAATTAAGAGCTGTAGAATGAAAATAAAAATGAACACTAAAATGCTAGAGGAGAGATTTAATACTTCAGGTAAAATTTTTTTTAGGGAACTGAATACACTGAAGTGATGATGACTTGTGCAAACCAGACCAGTTTAAACAGAAGGTTAAACCAAGTGTTAAAAGTGGAAGAAACAAAAAATATGATGAATTTTAATGTTACTGAAAGGCAAATAATCCAGTTTGATAGCACAGAATGAGGGGAAAAAAAAAAGGGGGGGGGGATTACAATCTTGTTACAAGGCAGCTAAATGCAGAAGTGAAATTCTTCCTGAATGTTTTAAGAGAAATTTTTCTAGAGTACACCAAAAACCTGTAGAACACCACAGCTATTTAAAATCTATCTGACAAGGGTTATGCACGTGATGAACAAGGAAGCATAAGAGTAATAAAAATTAATCATGATAAAAGAAAGTTAGCAAGTTTGTTGCATGTGAATTATGCTAATTCACTGACTGAATAAAAAAACTGAGTAGTGTTAAGAGATCTTGTAATTTACAAATAAATTTTGAAATGCACTAGTGATGTTTAGTAAGGCTGGCAATTTGAAATAAGTGGGAAGTGTTTTGACAGTTTTCATGGAAAAAAAAAAAGTAATTTATATTTATGCAGCTTAAGTCTCCATGGATAAAAATACAAAAATAGGACCAGAAACAAATGTTACAGTACATTATATGGAGGAAAGGAACTGATGTGTTGCAAAATATGATCATGTGGGATGAATGAAGAGAATGATGCAGATATTAATATACAGGGGAAGATATAAACAACAAATCTGTGCAATGCTGTTAACAGATGCTATAGAAGTTATTGCAAGGCTTAGAATTGTGTAATGCAAGGCTTTTAGAATAAATTGTGAGAATGTGTAAAGTGAGACTTCAAAGTAGATAAACTGACTTCATGAGAGTAATGAACAATGACAAATATTTTCAGAGTGGAAGAAGCTATTTGCTTCATTTCATTGAATGTAACGAAACAGAGAAAGCTACTCTATTTAATCTTACCCATTTATGGGAAAGGAGATAGACAATTTATAAAATATACAAAATAAAATCTGCACAATAAATGTATTTTTTAACTATACTCATACAGTGGAACATCTACTATTTACATTTAAGAACAAACCTTAAATGTGAAGAACTAGTTGCAGCTGAAACAGGCAAGTAGGGATATTTCCACCTCTACTTATGGGGTTTCTTACTGCATTAATATGTGGTAGTGATAGTAATTAGAAAATGTCACAATCAACAATCCTTCAGTGATATGGTACATGAAGTACCTATGAAGAATAGAACACAAATGTTCATTTTGCATAATCTACATACATACCTGTGATGGGTTTTGAGAGTTTTCCTACTCATGCAGCCCAGCCTTGGGCCAGTTTCAAAATTCCATTATCATCTCACTACTGCAAGTCAGTACAGTGCCAGTAGGGGGAATCACTCCCTTTAATTCATGTACAAAATGACACCCCTCAAGGATTCATGGCAAGCTGAATCACTGGAAACAGTTTCCTTCCCAAAGCTGAAAATTCTAAGCTACTTCTACTTATTAATATACATTTTTTTTTTTTTTCAACAAGTCGGCCGTCTCCCAACGAGGCAGGGTGACCCAAAAAAGAAAGAAAATCCCCAAAAAGAAAATACTTTCATCATCATTCAACACTTTCACCACACTCACACATTATCACTGCTTTTGCAAAGGTGCTCAGAATACAACAGTTTAGAAGCATATACGTATAAAGATACACAACATATCCCTCCAAACTGCCAATATCCCAAACCCCTTCTTTAACCCTTTGACTGTCGCGGCCGTATATATACGTTTGTGAGGTACAGTGTTTGACGTATATATACTCATAAATTCTAGCGGCTTCAAATCAGGCAGGAGAAAGCTAGTAGGCCCACATGTGAGAGAATGGGTCTGTGTGGTCAGTGTGCACCACAAAAAAAATCCTGGAGCACGCAGTGCATAATGAGAAAAAAAAACTCCGACCGTTTTTTTTAATTAAAATGCCGACTTTGTGGTCTATTTTCGTATAGTATTTGTGGTTGTATTCTCGTTTTCTTGGTCTCATTTGATAGAATGGAAACTATATTATAGAAATGGAGGTGATTTTGATTAATTTTACTATAAAAAGAACCTGGAAATGGAGCACAAAGTACAGGAAATGTTTGATTTTTGCCGATGTTCAAAAGTAAACAAATGATGTCATTGTCCAATAAATGTCCAAATAGCCATTCTAATACGCACTCATGAATGGGTTGATGTAATTTTTACAATTATTACAGTATTGCAGTAGTCTGCATAACAGTAAATCTTCTATTTTTTGTTTGAATAAAATTTCAAAATAAAAAGCAAGAGTAATATCACAGGGACCTGGAGACATGACTGATGAACAAAGAAAATGTTATTTTAGAGCCAGGAATGTCTGCATTGTTCATTCTGGACCTTATTTTGAAATTGTCGTATTTTTTAATTTTCGTGAAATTGGCCAAATTGCAAATTTCTGACCATGTTATTGGGTAGTTGAAATCGGTAAATGGGCAGTTTCTTGTACTCAATCGATAGAAAAAATAGAGTTCTGAAGAAATAGTTATGAGTTTGGTTGACTGGAATAACGGAATTAGCCGAAAATAGGGCTCAAAGTGGGCGAAATTGCCGATTTTTAAATATCGCCGGTCGCTAACTTCGTGAGAGCGTAATTCCGTCAGTTTTCCATCAAATTTCGTTTTTTTGGTGTCTTTACAATCGGGAAAAGATTCTCTAACATTTCATAAGAAAAAATAATTTTTTTTTTTTCAAATATTTTGCGACACCAGAAGCAACTTCAGGATTTGGCCCTTCGACAGTCAAAGGGTTAAAGTGCAGGCATTGTACTTCCCATTTCCAGGACTCAAGTCCGACTATATGAAAATAACCGGTTTCCCTGAATCCCTGCTCACACTCCAACAGATCGTCAGGTCCCAAGTACCATTCGTCTCCATTCACTCCTATCTAACACGCTCAGGCCTTGTTAAATATCCATTTTCCTAGTAGTTTGTGTGCCACTGTTCTATGCTACATAAATTATGAATACGACTCAGGGAAGGGACTGCAATCTACTAAAATTAAAGAAAAACCTCAATGTAACAGACAACCTCTGTAGCCAAACAATATTCAGAAGCAACAGACTAAAGCCATTAAATCCAGGACTGTCCATTATACTTACAGTCACATGGGTAAATTAATTTTGGATTTAACAAAGTCCATTAAATCTGTTACAATCGTGACATTTTCATGATGTGGATTTAACCCTTAAACTGTCCAAACGTAGATCTACGTTCTTTTTTTTTTTACATGCTTTCAAATGGAGAAAATCAAGGTCGGCTCACTACGCACGTAAACGTAGATCTACGTTTGGACAGTTTAAGGGTTAACGGATGCTCCCCCCCCCCAGATCAGTCCATTAAACTGAGGGTTTGCTATCTGCATGACAAAGAACATGACTGAATAGTAGAGATTCCACTGTATATATGTATCAACTATGGCAATTGAACATATATTTTCTCAGTGGCTGCTAATATTTACCTTTTTAATAAATCTATAAATAGCACCTCTGAATTCTTAAGTGATACATGACAAAAAAAAAAAAAAGATATCAGCAATGTCTAAAAAGTAAATCTCATTACTAAGAATACTGACACTAACATTCTATAATAAAAAGTGTTAAGAATCTGGCATGTCCTTATAGAAAAAAAATTAACTGCTCCTTGATAAGGTTTGAATTTTTTTCTAATGATAGTTATTCATCAATATATTTGCACCAAATGCCACTGCATCAAAGTATAATCCAAAATGTGTAAAGTAAACAAATGGCATCACTCATACACACAGTAGTATGAGAAAATTACTTTGGGCACCATTTCTCAGCGCCTTGTTTCCTGATACGTAATGCTTTTCTGGGTAACCTGCCATATCTCTATCTGTACATTATCTCTCCATAAGCACTTCAAAAAAAAATTTACCTGGTCACAGACCGGGCCGCGGGGGCATTGACCCCCGGAACTCTCTCCAGGTAAACTCCAGGTAAATTATCGTGCCCCTGTATTTGCAATTTTTGTATTCTTCTGAACCAATCCTCATTCACTCCATGCCTTTCCAAAGACAATTGCGTAACAATCACTTCATACATATTATGAGCATACCAGCCTGTAGAATTCTTTGGCATACTTTCTATTGCTTGCATATTCTTTAATATACAGTGGACCCCCGGTTAACGAACTTTTTTCATTCCAGTAGTATGTTCAGGTGCCAGTACTGACCGAATTTTTTCCCATAAGGAATATTGTGAAGTAGATTAGTCCATTTCAGACCCCCAAACATACACGTACAAACGCACTTACATAAATACACTTACATAATTGGTCGCATTTGGAGGTGATCGTTAAGCGGGGGTCCACTGTATTTGATATGCTTGAAGATTAAGTGAATGTGAAAAATAGTACTAAGGACTGAGTAATCAATTACTAAATGCTTTGTACTGAATATTTAAATATATTATTTTGTCATATTAGAGCATCTCATTTACATACAGGCATGACAAATTTTTTCAAACACTCCTATAGCAAGGAGCAATTTCAACTATAAGCATATTTTAACTTTAAATTGCATGATGTTCTGTAGAAAAATGATGAAAAAGGATCTTTTACCAGTTAATGAGAGAAAAGTGCACAACTTTCTAGATCAACTATACTTGTGCACTTCTGGAAAAGTGGCTAGAGAGCAAGTGTTAATGAAAGACTTCTCATCTTTGAATCAGTCTGTCTTGGTGGGAATAAAACATTAAATTGTGACTTAGAATGTGCTACTCTTAGTTGCTATGTCACTTATTCTTATTAAACTTAGCACATCTGCAACACATTTTAATTGTGTAAACTTTTGAACTTTAGAAAACTAATTTCTTCTTTGAATAGAACTTTGCATTAAGGAAGTAAATAAGTAGATTCACATTCACTTTGACTTTGAGAACATTTTCTTGACATTTATTCCTTCATACTGCAACTGAAGTAATTCCTGTAAAAAAAAAAAAAAAAAAAAAAAAAAGTTCAGAATGATTAACTTAAATGATTCTTTCATATAATCATTAGTTTGAGGTTTACTATAAGATAGAGACTAAAGCACATCTGGTAACCTTACCATTTAGGTATGAAAGATAAGCAAAAAGCTGACATGTAAATCAAAGAGCAGGTTTTTATTAAAATGTTTTGTTCAGTGTCAGTTATCACAACTTGATAATGCCTCACGCTGAGAAAAACAGAATTTGTCAAGGCCTTCTCTGTATGCTCTATTGTTACTGTATAATAGCCAACCTCCCAAATTCATGAGGACTACATTGGTGAAGGTCCTGCAAGTCTAAAATTTACAAATACAATTAGTTTTGTTCAACATGTTAGCCGTCTCCCACTGAGGCAGGGCGACTTGAAAAAGAAAAACTTCCACCATCATTCATGCTACATTGTCTTGAGGAGGTGTGCAGATAAGACAGTTTAGATGTCACTTTGAACTGTCCTATCTGCAAGACTCTGGCAAGACAGTGATAGCGTGAATGATGGTGAAGGTTCATCTTTTTTGGGACATCCTGCCTCAGTGGGAGATGACCAGCATGTTTAAAAAAAGTATGTATTAAGATTTAATCATAGGAAATCCACTGGACACAATCTGAATTAAATTCCATGGTTAGTTTTGAATTCAGGGGTCATGCACAAACCATAGACAATTTATTCATGGGATGACAATTGTTAACCCTAAAAACTGTCCAAATGGAGATCTACGTTCACTTGTGTAGCGCTCCAAATATTTGGAAAAAAAATTTTTTTCTAATGAAGAGCACATTTTTCATAAATGTTATAGGATTAAAAAAAAATTAGGGACAATACTTACCGAGATATAAGCCCGCGAAGTTGGTGCTAAATGATGTGTCAGCAACATGGAGCACTGCCACTTGCAGAAACAATTATAGCTTTTTTTTTCAGATTCTTTTCTATTTTTGTTGTTTTCATGTTATGATAATGTTTTGTTGCAGATCTTTTGATTTCATAGCCAATTCTTGTTGAGACAAATGTTTGGTACTGAATTAGTAATCACACTGTCAGACACACATGTTCACACTGAGAGATGAATTTGTACACCTGGTTCAATCATATTCTATTGTTTACATATATACACATACAAGTATTTTACAGGTCCCATTTATGTTTCTAGAAATCCATCACTGTATAATACTCCAAGAAGCATGGATTCATACAGAGTGCCACCCCACATTACTGACATATGAATCATGTGTCTTTTCACACTTGGGGCCGCTGTGTAGTGCAAGCACACACAACACTTTTTCTGAGAGTACTTCTTCTTTGGAGTAGATGGTATTGGTAACAGGCAGTGACAGTTAGGGATTATTATGTTGGGCACTTCCCCCTCTGGTTGTGGAGTGACAGGTTGCTATGGAGTGGCGGGTATAGATGTGGTGCCATACTTTTTCGCTATCTGCTTTAAGACATTGAAGGTGAATTCCGCATATCATTGTCGCTTCCCTGTCTTTATTTCGTACATGTTGAAGGCACTGAGCATTGCAATGTCCACAAGGTGGAAAAACACTTACACAGGTCTCCCTCAACATTCACGTTTTCAGCTTTCACGGACTTCACACATTCGCGAATTCCCAACCGCCAAATTCCCAGCCACCAAATTCCCAGCCGCCAAATCATATTCAAGTTTCCCGTCATCTCCGAGTCCCTACTACCCTCCTTCCGACCCCCGCAACTGGCAGCCAGCCCTCCCACCACTCAGTGTGGTGAGTGTTTTGTTTGTTCATTATTTGCTATTAAACTACAGTATAAATAATGTAAAACCATTCATGACTGCATATTGGAATGGCTATTCGGACAGGTATTAGACTGTGACATCATGTCTTTACTCTTGAACACTGCAAAGAATTAAACATTTCTACTACAGCTAATAATAACAATAGTAATAATAATAATAATTTTTTTTTTCCAACAAGTCGGCCGTCTCCCAACGAGGCAGGGTGACCCAAAAAAGAAAGAAAATCCCCAAAAAGAAAATACTCTCATCATTCAACACTTTCACCACACTCACACATTATCACTGCTTTTGCAGAGGTGCTCAGAATACAACAGTTTAGAAGCATATACGTATAAAGATACACAACATATCCCTCCAAACTGCCAATATCCCAAACCCCTCCTTTAAAGTGCAGGCATTGTACTTCCCATTCCCAGGACTCAAGTCCAACAATATGAAAATAACCGGTTTCCCTGAATCCCTTCACTAAATATTACCCTGCTCACACTCCAACAGATCGTCAGGTCCCAAGTACCATTCGTCTCCCATTCACTCCTATCTAACACGCTCACGCACGCTTGCTGGAAGTCCAAGCCCCTTGCCCACAAAACCTCCTTTACCCCCTCTCTCCAACCCTTTCGAGGACGACCCCTACCCCGCCTTCCTTCCCCTATAGATTATATGCTTTCCATGCATTCTACTTTGATCCATTCTCTCTAAATGACCAAACCCCTCAACAACCCCTCTTCTGCCCTCTGACTAATACTTTTATTAACTCACACACCTTTTCCTAATTTCCACACTCCGAATTTTCTGCATAATATTTACACCACACATTGCCTTAAACAGGACATCTCCACTGCCTCCAACCGTCTCCTCGCTGCTGCATTTACCACCCAAGCTTCACACCCATATAAGAGTGTTGGTACTACTATACTTTTATACATTCCCTTCTTTGCCTCCATAGATAACATTTTTTGACTCCACATATACCTCAACACACCACTCACCTTTTTTCCCTCATCAATTCTATGATTAACCTCATCCTTCATAAATCCATCCGCCGACACGTCAACTCCCAAGTATCTGAAAACATTCACTAGTTCCATACTCCTCCTCCCCAATTTGATATCCAATTTTTCTTTATCTAAATCATTTGACACCCTCATCACCTTACTCTTTTCTATGTTCACTTTCAACTTTCTACCTTTACACACATTCCCAAACTCATCCACTAACCTTTGCAATTTTTCTTTAGAATCTCCCATAAGCACAGTATCATCAGCAAAAAGTAACTGTCAATTCCCATTTTGAATTTGATTCCCCAAAATTTAATCCCACCCCTCTCCCGAACACCCTAGCATTTACTTCCTTTACAACCCCATCTATAAATATATTAACCCTTTGAGGGTCGACAGGCCCTCTCCGAAACTCGTTCTCAGGGTCGGCCAAATTTAAAAAAAAAAAAATTTATTTTCTCTTGTGAAAAGATAGAGAATCCTTTCCCGATCATAAAGACACCAAAAGTTTGAAATTTGATAGAAAACTTACGAAATTATGCTCTCGCAAAGTTAGCGGTCTCGGCGATGTTTACGCATCGGCGATTTTGCCCACTTTGAGCCCCATTTTCGGCCAATTTCGCTGTACTAGTCGACAAAAAACATGAATATTTCGCTAGAACTCCATTTTTTCTATCGAATGGTGCAAGAAACCACCCATTTATGAAATTCAACTATCCAGTACAGTGTTCAGAATTTAGCAATTTTGCCAATTTCACACAAATTTCAAAAGATGCCAATTTCCAAATAGGGTCCAGAATAAACAAGAAAGACATTCCTGGCACTAAAATGACATTTCCTCTAGTTATTAGTCACGTCTCAAGGCCCCTCTTATATTCTTTTGCTTTCCATTTTGAATTTTTCTCACAAAAAATATAAGATTTACTGTTATGCAGACTACTGCATTAGTGTAAAAAATGGTATAAATATTATTGGTGCACTTGTGAAAGAATATTAGACTCACCAGTTGACGTGTATTGCACGCTTGGCACGATTTGTTTACTTTTGAAGTTTGGTAAAAATCGAACATTTCTGCTACTTTGAGCTCAATTTCAAGGCACCTTTCTTTGTAAAACCAGCCAAAATCATCTCAATTTCTGTAATATGTCTTCCATTCTATAAAATGAGACCAAGAAAACTAGAATACAACAATAAATACCATACGAAAATACACTGCAAAGTCGCTGATTTATTCCAAAAAAATGGTCAAAGTTTTTTTTTTGTCTTTATGCACTGTGTGCTGCAGGATTTTTTTTAGACTGTGCACACTGACCACATAGACCCATTCTTTCATATGAAGGCCTACCAGCTTTCTCCCACTAGATTTGAGGCCGCTAGAATTTATGCGTACTAGTACGTCAAAAACCCCTACGCGTAAAACGTACTAGTACGACGAAAACCCTCAAAGGGTTAAACAACCATGGTGACATTACACATCCCTGTCTAAGACCTACTTTTACTGGAAAGTAGTCTCCCTCTCTTCTACACACCCTAACCTGAGCCTCACTATCCTCATAAAAACTCTTTACAGCATTTAATAACTTACCACCTATTCCATATACAGTGGACCCCCGGTTAACGATATTTTTTCACTCCAGAAGTATGTTCAGGTGCCAGTACTGACCGAATTTGTTCCCATAAGAAATATTGTGAAATAGATTAGTCCATTTCAGACCCCCAAACATACACGTACAAACGCACTTACATAAATACACTTACATAATTGGTCACATTCGGAGGTAATCGTTACGCGGGGGTCCACTGTACTTGCAACATCTGCCACATTGCTCCTCTATCCACTCTATCATATGCCTTTTCTAAATCCATAAATGCAGTAAAAACTTCCCTACCTTTATCTAAATACTGTTCACATATATGCTTCAATGTAAACACTAGATCTACACATCCCCTACCCACTCTGAAACCTCCTTGCTCATCCGCAATCCTACATTCTGTCTTGCCTCTAATTCTTTCAATTATAACCCTACCGTACACTTTTCCTGGTATACTCAGTAAACTTATTCCTCTATAATTTTTTCAGTCTCTTTTGTCCCCTTTCCCTTTATATAAAGGGACTATACATGCTCTCTGCCAATCCCTAGGTACCTTCCCCTCTTTCATACATTTATTAAACAAAAGTACCAACCACTCCAA